ACCACATCTGGCTAGTGTAGAGACAACACATAATCACTTTCCATACATGATGGAAGTTTTATAAACAATTAAAATTGCAATTTTCAGAACTAATTAATAAGCTTTTATCTAAATGTCTTACTCTGCTTATTGTTTTCTTTCTCCTTTTTTTACTTTTTAAGTTGCAAAGAACAGAAGCTTCTACTGTATCACCACCAAATCCCTGATGTGAACTAGCTTTTTTATATTCAAATATATTTTTATATATTTTATATTCAAATATATTCAAATAGGACTTACAGCACCCAGATAGCAGTAAGTTAATAGAGACTTCAGGAACGACAGTGTCTGAAAACATTGTAGTGTTTCCCAAGTGTTTACTGACCAAAGCCCTACAAATTGTAGATTTGCCCACTTTCCCTTCCTAAACTCAGGATAGGAAAAGCTGTGGTGCCTGACAGCAAGGGACTCCTCTTTAATGGCTGGTACTGAAGCAGAAGCACTGATTTGCTCGCAAATGAGATGTTGGTTAATTATTTGATAGAATTTAAAGGCAAAAATTGTCGTTCTGGACATCTAATCTATGAAACAGCGAGCATAAATCCCCATGCATTTTCTCCTGCCCCAAAGCCGTACCTTTTGATTTAACTCCAATGTAGTGCTGCAAAGTAGTGTTGCGGCAATGCTTCTCTTAATGTATGCCTAGTGCCTTCTGCCACCCCCACCTGGCCACTGATGAGGTCCTCTTATGCAGAATTTTTTTTCCAATTCCTAAAGTAATACAGCATAAAGGAGCTATTGAGGGATAGAGAACTACTCACCAAGTTGTAAGTTTTTGCTTAAAAGTGTGATATTTGACTTCGTGGAACAAACATGAACAAAAACTGGTTTGAAGCCACATACAGTGAAAAGAACTTTTTCTAGGAATATGGATATGGTAAGTAATGAAAAGGCAAAACCAAACTGAGATGAGTGGGTGGCAAAATGCAGGGAAAACCAGCCTCCTGCAGATATGAATTATAGAACTTTGGCTCACAGATTTTTGTTTATACCATCTGAGTATTATTTGTAGAAGGTATTTGGCTAAAAGATAGGAGAAATGCATTTTGACCTGATGTTTTACCAAAAAAATTTCTTGCTCCCCTTCTCTTACCAATAGCTGGTCATCTCATGTTGTCTTGTGCTATTTGCAGGGTGATACTCAGTTGCAGCAAAATGACCGTTTCAACATGTTTGAGAAAACAGGCATCCAGTTCTTGGAAATCCAAAATGCTCAGCTTGCTGATGCAGGAATTTACACATGCACAGTGGTAAACAGTGCTGGGAAGGCATCTGTGTCTGCAGAGCTCACTGTTCAAGGTACAGCAAAGAGTTTACAGGAGAGAGCACAACTGAACCACAGACATTCCTTTGAAATCTCTTTGGTTGTGTTCCCAGTATAAGCATTCACTTTTTCCCATTATCTTCCTCTCCCTTCATCAAGTGACGCTGTGATAGCTTGGAGCATGCTACAGCTGAAAACATTGTGTTGGTTCAATAGGAAAAAGGCTATCCAAATGCTTTGTAACTTCTTTCTTTAGAACCAACTTTTCACTTCTACTGTGATTTTGACCTCCATATGTTTTGAACATAGATTTTAATTTCAGCCAATGGAAACCTTGCACTTGTCATTATAATCAGTAATTAATTTTGTATTTGCTAAGTACCAACACCAGATGCACATTTATACCAGCTCCCCTTTGGGAAACAAAATTGTATTTTTATTTGTAGAACCAGCAAAGTAAAGGAGCATAACACTCAACTGTAAGAGAGAAAAAACAGCTTAATGAGCTTAAAATTCAGGCTTCTCAACTCCCAGCCCTGCCTTTTTTCACTACTGTTAAAGGAAATAAATGTCTTTGTATAAATAATTTAGGATGTTCTATTCCATATATGCATTACCATATACAGTTCATTTTGCAGTTTGATGCTTCTTAGCATCAAAATCATACAGCCTTCAGCAACACTAAAGAGAATTTCATCAGTCAGTGGGTAAGCAGTCACTGGATCCAATTAAATAATTAAATCAACAGCTGCTGGCTTCAGCTGCAGTCATAAGATCAGTGGGTTACATATGCACCCAGCAGTGAATCTTTTGATGCAAGATTTTTAGGTTCACACAATGCTGTCACACTGTAAGATACCAAGAATATAGATAAAAAGAGGATATAAATTTGGGATCCTCAGAGCCACAACTAGCCTTTACCACTTAGAATCACAGAATCGCTTAGGTTGGAAAAGGCCTTGAAGATCATTGAGTCCAACCATTAACCTAGCACTGCCAAATTCACCAGTGAACCATGTCCTTGAAGCTTAAAGCTGTACTTTTAATCTGTAAATTCCAATCTGATGAAGCCTTGTAGAAGGATCTTCTACAGGTTGCCTATTCAACTGATGTTTTATGGAAAGGGCCATTTTATTCAATAAGCCTTTTTTTTAAACATGAAACTTGATCCTTTCTTGCTCTCTCTGAAGTGGTGATCTTTCTGTTGTGTAATGGGTACATCTGCCTTAAGAGACCACGCAGAACGGGGGTCACAGAGTCAGTTGTGGTATATGTTTGCTTCAGATGCTGACCACATCTCTGAATAATGCGTGCATTCTTTCTTGGATTAGTACAGGTCAGTAAAAAGGGCACTCTCTTGCAATGTACTTGACTAATCAGATGATTCCACTTACCTAACCACAATATATAATACCTAATTCTTTCACTATCAATTAAATCAGGTCATAGGAGTTGCTGCAAGATGCTAGCAGACAATCAAGTGGCTTAGAATTACTACATTTTCTTTTAAAGCCATGCAATCTCATATATAGATAATCTTGTTCCAAGGGCTACATTTTTTTTTCCCCAAGTTCCCATAGTGGGAAGTGGAGAGGGAGAGTGAAAATGTTTTTTCAACTGACAGGGTTGCGTGGTCTTGTCTGCAACCAGTGTTATTCAGCTTCCTCTTCTGCATTTACCCAGTCTCTTTTCAGCTTTAATTTTTATGTGAAGAATTTCTGTTACTGTTTATTGACAGGTTTATTGAAGTGAGGTCAATGGGTTATTTCCCTCTCTCACTGCAACTTTTGTGTGTGTGTAAATAGATTCTTTTGGTCACTGAATGGTGTGGCAAGTCCAGGCATTTAGATGGATTTTTGCTTGCAAAACACAGTGGAAATCAGGATATCATCCATCACATGGTTTTGTCTTTTCCCTGAGGCAAAGACTCTGAAAGCATTTTTATGGAGTACTTGTTGGTGACTTGCAAAATTCATTATCTTGCAAATTTATTATTACATGTCTTTCTACTGTAATTTCTAGTCTCACCACTGACAACAGCATAGATGCAACTGTGATCTGACCAGGAGAAATGAGCTTCATCCTGTAGTGTTAACTAGGGAAAAATGGAGAGATGTGGTTGGTACTTGGTCTGGAGTGGTATTTCTATCCTCTCAACTATTTATTATCTCATGCTGCTCCCAAGGAAAAAGAATACTGTCAAGGTTTGCACAAATGCATAAAGGATTACATACATATCAACTAAGAGATTGACTATGAGCAAAGAGGTGCTCAGTTATGTCAGTGCAGCTGATGAGGTACCTTGGCAAATCAATAGAGCTCAGCCATGTTCCCAGATTTCCTTGTGGTGTTGCAAAGTGAAGAAATGTGACATATTAGCTTTTGTGTTATTCATGTTAAACATGATAATCCTTGCTTGTCATGGTTTAGCCCCAGCTGGCAACTAAGCACCATGCAGCCGCTCGCTCACTCCCCCTCCCGCAGTGGGACGGGGAAGAGAATTGGGGAAAAAAACTCGTGGGTTGAGATAAACATGATTTAATAGGACAGAAAGAAAGAAGGGAACAACAATGATAATACCAACAAAGGAATGTACAAGAACAAGTGATGCCCAATACAGCAATTGCTCACCACCCAGTGATCAACAGCCCATCCCCGAGCAGCGATTTCCGCCCCCCGGCCAACTCCAGTTTATGTACTGGGCATGACGTCGTATCGTAGGGAATATCTCTTTGGCCAGTCTGGGTCAGCTGTCCCGGCTGTGTCCGCTCCCAGCTCCCCGTGCACCCCCAGCCTGCTCGCTGGCAGGCCAGCACAAGAAGCTGGACTGTCCTTGACTGCTCAGCAACAACCCAAAACATCAGCACATTATCAACAGTTTCTCATCCCAAATCCAAAACACAGTCTCACACTGGCTTCTGTGAAGAAAACCAGCTCTATCCTGGCTGAAACCAGGACATTGCTACACAGCAAATGAGTTGGTCAAAGTTTATGAGTAGGTTCAGGTTTTGGGAGTTTTTACTACTGTTAATTTGGTTTTGTGTTTTAGTCAGAAGACAGCTGCAGTTTCACTGTGAGCATGCTCAGGTGTAGTATTGATGGTTTGTCTTTCTCCACTTCTACAAGCTCTGTGGAGTTCTCATAAGATTTGATGAGCTGCCTCCCAGCTGGAATCTCTTCCCTACTTCTCTCCCCAACAAGGATCCTTTGAGGCTCACAGAACCTTTAGTTCCCAAGGGATTTGGGAACTTAGTTGACCCAGCAATGCCTCAAAATGGACCAAGACCTCTTCGTATTTCAGCTGAACTGCTTGGTGTTGTCTATACCAAATTTCAGGTGTGGTGATAGTAAATCTTGACTTCTGTGGATTGAAAATATGAAGAGTGAAGGTTCTTAAGTATATTCTCTGCTTAAAATACTTACAATTTATGGAACTCTGTACAGTATTGTATGTCACCTGGTTTTTGTCTTTTTTTATTTCAGGTCCAGATAAGACTGACATATATGCTCAGCCACCATGGTATGTTTTTACTGGAGTACTTTCTCAATATATTTAATTGCAGTGCATTAATTTTGACATTTACTGCATGAACCTTCCTCACAAAGAGATAAATCTTTTTGGGTCAGTCTGTATTTGGCAGTTAGAAAATGTTTACTTGGAATGAGATTCTCTCTCACTGCCAAATTCAGCTGTCCTGGTAGACTCCTACAAAATAGTTGGTGGAACTGGTGGCGACACTATGAAGTACAGAATTCTGGTCTGGTTCAGGAAAGCAAACTGTTCCCATGTAGCCAAATAGTTGTGAGGAGAAATTATATTCTGTACCAATTGGTCAAACTTCCTTTTTGGACTCAAAGTCCTGAATGCATCATGTGAGTCCTGAGCTGGTGGTTCTTTGCTGTCATAAACAAAACATGGTATGACCATGGTCTTTGCTGTTGTCTGAAAATACATACAAAAGTTATGGGTAAAGTAACAAATGAAAAAAATCATATTTTAGGACTTTATCAAGATTTTTAAAGTTAAATTACTATGATTTTTTTTTTAAATATTTTTGTAAAATAGATTTTCTTCATCAATAGAAAATGCAGGAATGAAATGCTCTAAGCTGACTGTGTAAGACACTTTCATGAAGGCCAGTTGCTTTACAGTCTTCAGGGTGTTTAATCTGTCCTCACAAGCCCTGGATGGGATTTCAAAAGGGCATGTTTGCATTGTCCTAACTCCATGTCCACTGCAAAGTGCATCTGAAAATGTTGTCATTTTCAAAACATCTCAAAGCCTGTCTGAAAATGTCATCAAATTTTCAGGTCTGGGTGATTTTTAGGAACATACTTTAAAATAAGTTTAGTGTGCATGAAACTGTGCAGCTCTACAGCCAGAACACCCCATGTACTGGCTTCTCTTTGCCCCTCCATTGCTTATTCACAAAAAAAGGGATACCTTGTAAAATGTAAAAATCTCACAGTAGTAACTGCAAAGCTCATAGGCATTAATTCTTTAGTACCTTTAACTCTGGCTGAAGAAAGTACCACAACAAGTATCCTGAATCTCCCTGGGAGAATAAGTCAATGGCACTAAGTATAGAAAAACAGATCTGGGCTAGAAATTACTTACAGTATTTCAGATATGTTCCAATTCTGCCTTGGAATAATGCTTTGTAAGTGTGATACACAGACACAGTGCTCTACAGGTAATAGCTTAGTGGTCAGGGCAGACAACTTCAATGTAGGAAACTTAGATTCAAGTCCTCAGTTAGTCAGCTATCCTTGTCCTCTCAAAGTACAGAGCAGCAGATCCATCATAATTCTGAGAAACTTTTCCTAATAAAACCATAGCTGACATTGTTACATCCAGTCAATTGATTTTTTTTCACAACACTCCCTCTCCCTCCCCTAGCCTTTAGTCAAGTTTCCTGATCAGTCCTGTTTTGAAATCACCTAAATTACAAGACATCATAATTAGAAATAGTAAATTCACTGCACAATTTACATTTTCATTTCCCTTTAGGAAACTATTTTATGTGGTGTTTTGAACTATGATTATATGTGGCCTCAATTTATGAAAGCATGAAGTAGTGTTACATCATGGTCATTCCAGGGTCTCATGTAATTGCTCTCTATCTAAACCAGTGTATGCAAGGTTAGCATCTGACCTACAAAACATGTTAGATCCCGAGCAGTGGATTTATATTCAGAAACTCCTCAGCTGAGACAGTGTCTGAGCACTGATCTCATTTTATGAAGCTTTTCACCTCTTTCGTCTGTGTTCTTAATCTGTGTGAGGGAAACTAAAGGCTAATTTGTTCACCTTCTTGCTAAGGGCTTGCACATTTATATCATTGCTGATAATAATTAGTCTTTATACAGTGTCATATATCTGTAAACTTATTTTCCTTCAGCATGCCATCAAAACCAACACTTGCTGTTAAAGCGGTTGAAAATTCAGAATTCAAACAGGCAACTAGCAATGGGATTGCTAAAGAGCTGAAATGTAGCAGCACTGAACTCATGGTTGAAACCAAAACCAGGGTGCCAGCAATGAAAGAGGCCTTTTACATCACCAGAGAAGCCAAAGGCAGTAAGCAGGGACAGCATCAAGAAGCTAATGCAGTGTCTCCTCAAGAACCTAAAGAAGGAACAAAGGTATCTCAGGTCTTGCAGAAAACTTCAAGCACCATTACACTACAAGCTGTCAAACTGCAACGAGAACCAAAGGCAGAGTCCCAGGCCACTTTCATCAGGCAGGGTGAAGACAGGAAAAGGGCTGTGCATCCCCTGATGTCAACACATCAAACCCCATCTCTGGCAGGGCAAGTCAGTCCAAGGAGCAGAGAAACAGAAAACAGGTCTGGAACCCGGAAGGCTGTAATGGAGGAGAAGAGGGAGCCTCTGGGAATTCCTCCTCAGTTTGAGAGCCGTCCACAGAGCATGGAAGCATCAGAAGGCCAGGAGATTAAATTCAAGAGCAAAGGTAAAGAGATGAAAGCTAACAGAGCCTTGGGTTAGTCAGGTTCCTCTTCTGTGTTTGGAAGTGGGGAAGGAATTCCTTCTTCACTGCAAGTTGTCCTCCTAAAGCATTTTGGAAATAGATGCAGAATCTCATGCTGTTTCCACAATAGTCAATGAAATTTTCAAATCATTCCATACCATAGTGCCCATCCCTTCTCTCATCTGGGCTTTCCCCAGATGTAATCAATGCTGCTCTTTCTAGGAGGTAGTTTTAGGGCCTCTTTTATGAGGGTGCACGAGAGAAAATGGATGGTACACTGTCCGGAACTATAATTGGTTATATTGTCCTTGAGCCAAAAAAATGATCAGATAAGAAACTACAATTGGTCACCGGATTTCCCTTGCGGCATCTACTTTTACGCCTCATATTTGGTCAAACCAGTGCTGATCTGAGTGCTTCCTAACAGCTGGAATTACAAGGTCAGAATTAAAAGGGAGGTTTAGAGTTTGCTCTGCAGAATTTGACCAGGTTTTAACCTCCCAAAAGAGTAATGAGAGCTGCATTTTGCTGAATCTAGGGAGTAGATTTGGAACACTTCTTTTGTATTATTACATTCTTAGTAGAAAATAATTTTGAAGCATTTTTCTAATATTTTTTAAAAATAACATTTGCACTTTAAGGTGTTGCCACAACAGAGAGAGAAATTGTTTTTTATGTCTGGAGGGAAAAAAAATCACAACAAAAGCATAGTAATTGATTTCATTTCTTGATAGTTCTTGCCCCATGGAGAAAGAATACAATTTATATCACATACCCAGATATTAAGGAGGGGAGAAAATATTCCAAAGATCCTGACACCTTTTGAATAGTTTATTTTTCAGGTATATTAGTACTAAGAACATGAATTGCTTTCCATGAGAGCATCTAAAAAACTTTGCAAGCTTTAACTAATTCATGATCCTCTTTGGTAGGGAAATGTAGTCCCTATTGTACAGATACCAAGGAGATCATTCAGTACTGATTGAAGCCAGTGAATGTCTCTTCATTTGGCTTTGGACCCAAAACACAAACTCTTGTATACAAAAGCAAGGTGTCTATAGGGAAGTTACAAAGGAAAGTCCCTCAATGCACTTTAATAACTAAACCAAGAAACATTCTTTCCTGAGAATCCTCTCCTCAAAGGGTAACCAGGGCTGCTTTCACAGGCACCTCTGCTTCCTGGTTGCCATGGACAATGGAAATGCTATTACACCCGTAAGGAGGTTTCCACCTGCCAGGCTGGTAGCTCAACTTGCTTCTGGGTCTGTAGGGTTACTACAAAGCATCCATGTTCTTTGATGCTTCTGGGTTTGATTTTTTACTTTTTTTTTTTTTCCTTCCCTAGCTTTTGGAGGATCTCCCACCTCCACTGTCTGTTCTTCACTAATAGTCTGTGGATTCCAATGTGCTCCTTCTCTGCTGGGCAAGAAAGAGACTCTTTTCTGCATAATAACTTCTAGTTTCTAGCTGAAAAAAAATCACAGAAAAGGGATATTTTCTGCTTTCTGATGTATGCAATGGGCAGTCCATTTTTTGCCCCATTTGTGGGTGTAATGGTAACCTGCCTCCTTTTGAATTTTTTATGGATTTGGAGAATGTGGAGCTGGATTTAGGAGCTGCTTTGTTTCCAAAGAGAAGGAATTCCATTTTTTTTCTATTTCTAGTCACTTGTATCAGGTGGGGTCCTGCTTCTAGTTAAGGGTTCTGCTTCTTTACCAAGAAAGTCACTCCCTTATCCTTGTATTTTCTCTGTTCAGAAGGGTTTCCTGCAGTATATCATATATCTTTGTTGCGGATATTCCTGCCATCTTTTACTGTCTGTACCTTCCTCCAGGGCTGAGCACTCTTGCTATAATGAAATGGGTAGAGTTGGGAAGGAACATCAGCAAGGTGGAAGCCCCAGAGGGCACTGTTTGCTGAAAGTAAGTGAAGGATGGGGGTGGGTGACCTTTTCCGTCATTCTTTCCTCACCTCTCTGCTCATCATATCAACTGCCCCATGAAGCCCAGGCCTCCCTCAGCACTACAAGGAGACAAATCTGGTTTTCCACAGCTCTGACACAGGCAAAGCAGGCAGTGAAGCCACAGCTGTTTTGCTTCTGCTCCCTAAAAGTTTACTGTCCTAGGAAGCTGCCTGCTTTGCCTATATCTGGACCTTAGTCTGGAAAAAAAAAACACCAAAGCAGAATCACAGGATGGTTGGGGTTGGAAGGGACTTCTGAAGGTCATCTGGTCCAACAACCTGCTCATCCAGGGCCACCTAAAGCAGGTTGTCCAGGACTATGTCCAGATGGCCTTTGAATATCTCCAGGGAGGGAGACTCCACAATTTCCCTGGCCCACCTGTGCCAGTGCTTAGTCACACTCACAGTAAAAAAGTGTTTATGTTCAGATGGAACATCCTGCACTTCAGTTTGTACCCATTGCCTCTGGTCCTATCACTGGACACCACTGAAAAGAGTCTGGCTTCATCTTCTTTACACTCTCTCTTCAGATATTTATATACATTGATGAGGTCCCCTCTAAGCCTTTTCTTCTTCAGGATGAACAGTCCCAGAATAAATGACGTCAGTGGTGGGTACCATAGATTGCAAAGTACTGCTAGGTGCTCAGAGAAACCAATTTAGCAGCATAGGAAAGAATGGCAAGAAATTTCTTTCTTTCTCCTCTAAGATGTCATCACATACATTTTGTGTGTGACTTTAGAGCAAAAATTTTCAGATAGAAGTGCTTGGTGTTTTTCAAGTCACTAAATATTTGTTATTTTAAAAGATGGACTGGCCAATGTTTTTTAAAGATTGGAAATACCAAACCATCTTTTTGAACACAGTTTTGTGTTTACTTGCTCATTAAGGTTTATGTAATTATGTATGTGTAAATTATATCTAATTTAGACTGAAGCAAATAATGGAATTACACTAAGGGGAATGCATGTTCATAAAAATTCAAATATCTGATTGTCTAGTTTCAGGGAAACCAAAACCAGATGTGGAGTGGTTCAAAGAGGGTGAACCTATTAAAGATGGAGAAGATATCCAAATATATGAAGAAGATGGAATTCATTGCCTATGGTTAAAGAAAGCCTGCTTGGGGGACAGTGGATCTTATAGCTGTGCAGCTTTCAACCCCAAAGGCCAGACTTCTACCAGTTGGTTGTTAACTGTCAGAAGTAAGTAAGCTCTTGTGAGCCTATCTGCACTTTGAAAACTGTGGCTGGGCTTTTCTAAGCTATCAAAGGGTGATGACTACAAATTTTCTATTAGGACTTCTCAATAAAGGTTAATTCTGATTCCTAGCTCTGTGACCAACGTGGTTTGGAATAGCTGGCAAGCCACTTTCTGCATCAGTTTCCCTTCTGACCCTTTGGTTTTGTTGTTTGTATAGCTAAAACCATCTCATTGAATATTTTGTACAGAGAGAGACGTGTTGTCCACTGGGGTTTTCTATTAATGCTTGTATTTAATACGGGTTGCCAAAGATCTTATTGTTGTTTTCAATTTTTATTGTTCTGCATTCAGATCTTTTGGAGTTGCTTAGCACTTCTATAGGACCCTGCATTTCTGAAATGTTTTGCAAGCACAAACCAATCCTGTGTAGTAAAGCGAATAAGAAGAAAAGTGAAGGAACGAGAACTGTGTTCAGCTAAATTCAAGTACATCTCCCAGTGACAAATTACTTTGAGCTTGAAGGCACTGTCTTACTGGTCTGGTTTAAAGATTTGTTGGCCTCTTAGTAAATCCTATCCTCAATTCTAATCTTTTCACCTGGTTTTAGGTTTTGTCCTGGAACTATGATTACGTTTATGCAACACTTCTCTATTTGCTGTGCCTGAGGTTAAACCAGGATACCCAAAATACTCTCACTTTCTGTCTCATGAGACACCTGTAAACTGCATCCTTAAGTCACCCTATTTCACTGCCAGCCAGGGGAAATATGGGTGAGGGACTGGGAGGAGATAGACAATAGGGGAGAAGAATTAGCCTTCCTGTTCTTTGTGCTGAGCTTTTTGGGAATACTTTGCATATACTTCTAGTGATTGGCTGCAGATGGTGGATTGTGGCATAGAAAACCACCGTCAAAGCTTGAGGGCTGGCAACGCCTGCCTTGTACATTATAGAAGAATCTCTTCTTTATACCAGTCCATTTCTCAAAATTATTTCTATTTCCTATAAGACATTTCACTATGATTTTGATTTTTTTTTTCTTGTTTGCATGGGATGAATCTGTTAGCCTAGCCACGTCACCTAAGTATACCTTGAAAAATTCACTAACTGGTAAAGATAATTTTGTCAATTTGGGTTAAAGGAACTGTTTTCATTTTTATTTTTAAAGGGCCTAAAATTCAAGAGGTTGCTCCATGCTTTTCCAGTGTCTTGAAAGGATGCACTGTGAGTGAAGGGCAAGACTTCGTGCTGCAGTGCTGTGTAGGAGGCATACCGATGCCTCAGATCACATGGCTTCTCAATGGTAAGGAATCCCCTGGTCTGCAATACATGCATGCAACCACTTACATCCACAGTCACAAAAGCCACTCTGATCAGTACATAGCAAGGCTATGAATACTGCACAAAGCACTCTAAATCACCATAATATAATCCACTAAGAATATTTGAAGAAAATCAGTTTATACGCACATAATATACAGGAAAAGTGGTTTTCTTGAGCAGTTTTCTGTCTTACTGCAGTTTTCCAATATGTCCAGGAGGGGGCTCTGCTGACAAGACTGTAAGCAGATGGATTTCCTGGGTTTTGTTAAACACAGCTTTTCACCAGGCAACAAAGTCTGTGTTGCTACTGTATGCTGTGCTACTCCCAGTCCTTTGTCGCTAGCCTCTGCTCTGAGAGCAATGGGTTGGCATCATGATCCTGCAGGGATAATAAGTTCTAAGCAAAAGTGCAGTATACCACTTTTTATGGGAGGAAGGAAACCCATGTTGGATTCTACCCTTCTATCAGCTGGGCAGGTCACAATTGGTATTAGCAGCTATGTCCCCAAGATCTTAAAATCGCAGCTTTTCTGGTTGCTTCTCTGCTAGAAATATGTTTCTTAAGATTCTAATGCTTGCACAAAGCTGACAAAAAAAGGATAAGTAAAATATTTTTTTACTTTTATCAGACTGTATAATCTCCTACCCTGCCCTGCTTACACAACTGAACATGCAAGTTTCCTTAACAGTCCCCTCTTAATATCAGAGTTGGGTCTAAACATCAGCATTTTGCTTAGAAGAAATTATTTCAGAGATCCAGGGACTATATGCTTTGGCTAAGGGCTCTTTCTATTTAGAGTCATATCTATTAAGCACTAGACAGATTTATTCAGGTTAAACCTTGATTACTTCTATTACTCCTGAAGTGCAACAGATTTTTTGCAGACTCTCCCAGGCTATCTTTGTGTGTATGATTTAAAGACAAAGAATACCATACTTTGCCATAAAGATGTTTTCTCCAGGGTTCTTTTAAAATTAATTATTTGCACATGATCTCTGTATTTCTTTAGCTATTCAGAGTAAATGGGATAACTCAAAAAGGTGTCAGGGCAAATGAACCATGACCTTGAGGTTACTATGTTCCCACAGCCTGGTCTGTTGCCCTTTCCCAATAGTTCCATGTCTAGAAAAAGGCCACTGCTTTATTTACAACACGAAACACTCTCCCAGTGGAGATAATTTCTCTGAAGGCTACTCTGCAGTTCCTCCTTTGCAGACATGAGTAGAATCACTGTTTTGCTATGCAAGAATTGTGTCTTGCAGCACAGAAGAAGCAACTCCAACCCATAGGGTCAGTCATTTCATCTTCATGTTCCAAGGGTACCCCCTGTTCATAAAGGGTTCCCTTAGTCAGTGAATGATGTAGTTATACCCAGTTGTCTTCCACATACAGAGCATCTTCCTGTCTCAACTTTCTGTTACAGTTCATCAGGCATAGATCCTGCATCTCAGTTGGTGTAACCATGTTCTCCATTGCGAACCAGAAAACTGTTATCTCCTGAAAAATACAGCCCAGACATCAATAAGCAACACTTTCTGCAATAAGTTTCTGCAGGCCTCCAGTATGCACTGTGCTCCCCTGCCTTTTTTCAGGGTGTTTGTTCTGCATTGACCTTTCTTCTCACTAATCTCAGATGAGTCTGCCCCTGTTCAGGTATAACCATGTATATATTGTATCCAAGCTGCTAACTGCAATTGGATCAATATCACAAGGAGGCAAAAGCAGGTGGGTTTTTTTCAGATAGTTGGATTTCAAAGCATTAGGGTTCTGCAGGTGAAAGCCAGTACATTAACTCTGCTCTTAAATCAAAAGGCAGTGATGAGTCTGAGTAACAGAAGCACAACAACTATCATAATAATAAAAATTAGGGACATCATATATTATTCCAAAGACATAACCACACTACTTTCATTCGAGGCTCCTAAAACATACCACTGTAGTTTAATGCTTTTCTGTCTTGCATCTGATTGTGATACATAACTGTTTGTGTACCATTTTGATACAAACTTGAATGGATTATAAACAGTAGTTCAATGCTAATAATTCCATGTACATTCCTAGGGCCATTATTTTACCTAAGGATCAAATTGGCTATTGTGATATCCATTTGAATGCAAACATTTCCTTCCTGTCTACCAGCTAGCTGGATACTACAAGCTTCTCATATTTATATCCATTATCAAATAAAGGAGAAAGTTGTGTTTCTGGTCCTGACATATTACTCCAAGCAGACATAACAATGCTTTTGGCAAAATGACATGATGGAGTCTTTAATCAACAGGTCATATGAAGAAAACAGTATATTCACAGGCAGGCAGGCAGACAAATTTTTTTTAAAAAAAAAAGGTGTGTTACAATCTGCTGTCCATGCTTGGAATATAAAGCTTTTTAAGTTGACAACAGATGAACTTAACTGAACAGGCTGTGGCAGAGAAAAAAGCAATCCACTGAGAGCAATCACACTACTGTTCAAAATATTTTGCAGAACTCCATAGAAATAAAAATCATACAGGATAGGATGTGTAAAGTTCACAAGAAAGTATTAAATGCAAATTGTTTTCCAAGCATGACAATGATGACAAACTAGAATTAATTTTTGAAAAGAATAGTGAGAAAAGTATGTGTATATATATATATGAAATAGTGAATGTAAAGACCAACTTATCAAATCATAAGATACATGAACTGCTTTGAGAAACAAGAAAAAAAATAGGAAAAAAGCAGAATAGTCGCACTCCTAGGCTGGCCAGCCCTTGATACTGAACAGCCATCCAATCTGCCTTCCTGCAGTCTCCAAGGAATCCACACCACCTGAGAACTAAAAGACTGCAATAACTTCTTGTACAATGTCACATACAAGTACTACTTGAGATATTGAGCATTTTTATCAGCTGTGACTACATATAAATTTAAAACATTTTCCAAGCCATTATATAGATTGACCTCTCTTTCAGGTCAACCAAGACAAAAAATAGATTATGTATGCTGTGCATTGTCTGTAATTACTTCTTAGAATTTGTGAGGATGAGTAGTTTTTCCATATCCATAGACACTGCACAAATAAGAGCTACTCAACTGACCTATGGATTTTATTCAAGCCCTTACTCTTCTCTGCAGCTCTACCATTCTCAGGTTTTTTTCTTACGCTTTTTCCCTATTTTAATTATTAAAAGCTTTTTTCCAACTTCTTCTTCCAAGATTGTTCTTTTGTCCTGTTGCTCTCACTCTGCCCTTTATTTTAAGTGTCTTTCTGAATTTTCACTGATTAACTGTCAAATTCCCTAAAAGTAAACTTCTCCTGGCCTCACCAAAGCCTTATGAAGAACTTTTAAAATGTGCTCTCTGTCACAATACTTCAGTATGTAACTCCAATTTACTTTAGCTCCTTTAAATACTTTATTGGTAAATTATTTTTAAATTGCAGGAATATGGCCTATATGACTCTGCTTTAAATATCTTTTCATATTGTTTTCTGTGTGTGGGTTTTTTTTCCCTAAGCTGAATTGAAGCTCTTTCTGCTGAATTTAAAAACAGTATGACCTTGACTTTAGCATAACAATTCTCCGAGTAGTATTTGATTTTAGGATAGCTTTCTGATCTGTCTAGAAAGCTTTTAATAAATGGGCCAGGGGAAAATTTCCTTTCTTCTGGCATAACATGCCAGTCGAAAGGTATTTTTTGTTATTGTTCATGCTGCCAAGCTGTCATGGAGATTTAACTGTTCTGTCTCTGGAGAAGGGAACATTTCACTACTGGGAGAGTTGTTTTTATTAGATCAAAATAAAAGTACAATGGACATAACTTAGAATCTTGTGCAGGTTATTCTTCAGAGCTGATATACTTGTATTTGTTTTCTGGGGTCTGATGAAAAGGCTATTTTATAAGTGAATTTGCTATTCTGTGAATAGTGCTAAAAAATAGTCACCGTTTTGGTGGGAGCTGGAGTGAAAAAGAGGATGCCCTGACAAAATTTGAGGACACAGTGAAGGAGACCACATTTTCTTTTTCCACATATAAGAGTTACCCTATTCATTTGCTTATTTACAACAGAAATAAAAAGGCATTGTTCTGTTTTTGGTGATGCAGCTTTCATTCTAACTGTATTTCTGTTATGGTTATCATCTTAGCATCATTAGGGACCAATAATAATTTCAATGTCAGAATCCCAGACAGGATCCCTGTCAGGTTAGATATTCTACAGTCAGACCAGGAAGGCAGTCCAGTGCCCCATGTTCTCTTACAGAAAGCTTTGTCTGCTTGGGCTTCAGTTCTACATGTTCATACTTGAACATAATGTTATTCCTGCATGAAAAAAATATGTCATTGGACCTAGTAGGTACAATAGTCAGTGTGTAACTGAGTGAAAGGGAGCTCAGAGGAACCAGTCATAAGAACAGGTGACCTCTGAAGAAGGTGGAGAGAGTTTATTCTAAAACTGGAGTCTTCTGGGCAGTTGATTAAATCTTCACCCCAGTTTTTCACATGGTAGAAAATTTGCTAACTTAACGAAGAGATGACTTTTAAGACAAGTAAAGGAGCAAGATCATCTACTACATTTTATAATATATCTAAATATTGGATCGAGTTGATTTTGGCACATGTATGTATTTCAGCTTTGTAAGTATTTTCAACTTTATATGCACCTAGATAGTGACTGCCTTCTTAGTTTGCTAGTGTTGAAAATCAGAGATGAGAGAAAAATCTGTTCCATCATTTAATTTATCCTGCTCATAATGCAGAGCTTGTTCTTAGAAACCCCAGAGCTTTTATCCTAATCTTTTAATATTAGTTTGGTAATAAAATCAATTTTGATTTTTCCTTTTGATCATGTTTTCCCAAGTGACAGATGTCTTCGATTCAGTCCTGCACAATTTCTCTGCAGTTTTGCTGTCTTCACTTAGATGACCCTAATTTATTCTTCCAGCATGGTGTTTATGCACAGATATCAGGCTCTCTTAATCATTGCATAGACTGGGTAAGCAACCAATGATGAGTCAGTAGTGGAAACTATTTCATATTGGGAAAACAGATTGCAGAAGCATTTCAGAAAGTAAAGCTGAGATTGATGACAGTTCCTGACACAATAGCAAGGCAACTTTAACCAGTCTACACTAACATTTAAGCATGTTCCAAATCAACTCAAGAAATCAGTTTCTTAAAATGAACGTCTTTAGTATTCAGGTCACCACAGCCCAACAGGTTTTGCACATCTAGACAATAACACTAATATCTGGTTTCAGGCAAAGTACAAGATGCAGACAATGTTTGAAGCAAACACACATGACATTTCCTTTCTTACCCACTTGAAAGAGAATCTATTCAAAATACAAATAATAATAATTATTATAAAAAATAAACCTTTCTCCTCTTACTGCTACTCAAGGTAGCACCTGGTGAACCTCATGGTGAGATTTGTCTGACAATCATACTCTGCTTTGTGCCTGGGATGCTGCTGTTTGTAGTCACTAGAGAGCAGTGGCTGTGCACCAGAGAGCGGGATTTGGCATGCTAATATACTGGCTGGTGTTAGGCATCCAGATTTCACTGAAAAAAAGAAGTGCTTTTGAAACTTTTGAAACTTTTGACTGATGTATTAAGCCAATTCTCTTCCTTTCTGTTGGCAGACCAGCCAATTCAGTATGCCCATTCCACTTTTGAAGATGGAGTTGCGAAATTGACTGTTCAAGATGCCCTACCAGAAGATGATGGCATTTATACCTGTCTGGCTGAAAACAACACAGGACAGGCATCTTGCAGTGCTCAGGTCACAGTCAAAGGTGAATATCTTGGCCTAGTCTAATTACTGCAGTGATATCAGCTATAATCTTTTTAAAAAAATACCTTAGATCCTAACAGAGGTGGTTGTAAGTGGGTTCCATGTTGTTTGAAAGCTGTTGTCAGCTGGGTACATTTTCTCCCCCTTGGAGGTGTGTGCAGCTGAAGTGCTTAGGGACTGTGAAATGAAAAGTAATATGCATATTTCAGAAAAAGGTATTAAAGCCCTGACCTTACCAAGAAGTTCTTAGTGTGGTACAGAGCAGTGAGGCTAAATTTTGGAAGAGGTGTACAGGTGTAGGAAAGGACTGTCGCTGCTGAAACAAAAATAAGTGCCGTATCACCAGTATTGCCCATTAGACAGAGAGTGTTGTGGTGAGAAGGCAGATGCTACCCCTTTCTCTTGAAAGGCAGAGCATGGAGACCAATGCCAGGGACTGCAATTATGATAGCAAATGCCAATATTCTTGTTCTGCTACCAGGATTTATCAGAGATAATTCTGAAGAGGTATGTATCAGCTAATTGGGAGCAGTATATCTCTCAATAACAGAATTTTGGTAATGGAAGTACCAGAATAACATTGTAGTAAGTAATTGAGGTGATCTGTTTTCTCTGAAATCTGAAAGCACCCTCTTTGCAAATATCAATAATTTGATACCCTCAGTGCTGATTTGACATAGCTGATTTGTCTATGAAAGCCATAATTCTGCACTAGGATCTGAACAAACACAGTCTAAAAGACCAGAGATTGCAATGAAGACAGAAGATGACAGGATAAATTGAATAGTGAGGTAGTATCAATCAATGTTATGGTTTTTATTCTTATAGTCTCACCTGGCATCAGTATATACAGTTGTTTCATTTTATGGCTTGGAGATGAGCAGTCTCCTCCCTCTACAATCCCGCTCCCTCAAACTCCCCCTCCCTCTACAATCAATCCTATATTTGGTATGTGGCATCTGCAAATGATTTTTTCCCAAAGTTATAATAGTTTGGCTCTGTCTGTCCAACAAGCTGCTGAGTGACAGCTACCAAGGAAACTATTCCATTTGCCTATGACCAAATAATACCTGCCGCAAATTTGTACATGCAGCTTGGTGGGAACTGTACCCTGATCCCTTGGATCCCAAGATTTGTCTTTGCTTGCCAGCGTTCTGTGGTGTTTGTCTACAGCACTTCAGTGATATGCCTGCCCCTATTCTGTCTGCATGAATCCACTTAAAACCCTAGATAAGCTTAAAATGAAAACAAAGTATTCTGGTAAACCTATGAGTTAATTTCTTGGTTAACAAATCGGAAAAGCAGTCACCCCTGACCCATCATCCCCCTCCTCCCCAAAAGGCACCAAGAGGGAAAACATTGATTTAAAGTAAGCCTGAAACTAATCTGTTCTCAAAGCTGTCATTTATAATTTCTCTGAAGCATTTCATCTGCATTAGCTAAGGGTCAATCAAGAGTGTTCCACCTCAAGGGAGCTGTCTTTGACATGGGACCTGCTGATTCTTCCCTGGGACACAGAAACCAAAAAAGACAGCCTGTCTCTTACTAACCATTTCTGGGTTATTTTAGGGTTGACATACAATGCTAATGTGAGAGTAATAGTGATCTAGCATTTCCCTAGGTTTGTGTACTTGACTGAGCTATTTCAGGTGACGTAGTCGCTATTGCACTGAGTTGGATTCCTCCTGTACTTTAGCTAGTCTAGGGCTAGAAAGCTACATTGCTGCTATTATGGGGAGTTATTTCCTCTGTTTTGCATCCCTTTCTATTTTCTGGGAGTCATGGAGTGTGGGGGGAAGAACAAGAGCAGAATTAAGAACATGCGTGACAGGCTGTGAAGCCACATGTTCAACATTTTTACAGCTTTAGCTATCCCCTCCACTTCCTCCTAAAACTCATTATGTCCCTGTTGCCATGAGGATTACAGTAACTTTCTCCAAGACTCAGATCAATGTAGATTTGCCTACTAGATATAGTACCAAATTCTAATTAATGATTTCCAAATCTCTTACCTGTTCATATATTTTTCCATCAGACCCTCTAGCAAATACTTATTGGTATTAGAGTTCTCTGAGACTCTGAATGCTACTGCTAAGGCTTCTCTAAATGCTCAGCTTTTGCAGATTACAGCAGGAAAGCAATGTACATGCAGAAAGAGAGAAAAATCCTCTCCTGACTAGACATTGATTTTTGGAATAAAGTCTGTAAAAACTGGTTCTGAATTGTAACCCATCTCTCTCCAGTTCCTTTTTGTCTCCAAGATGATTTAAGGTTTTCAGGTTTCATATAGTGCTCAGTTTGTTCATTTATTACTAAAGAAATATTTTCCTCTTGTTTGTGAAAAGTAATTTGTATTTAATCTAAGAAGGAATGGATGCTCTTAAGATATCATCAATATCAGACCAATGTCAGAACTCATCTTTTCCTTAACTTGATACTGTCGTCCTCAGACACATCTCTGAGTCTGTCTGGGTCTACATTTCACTTCATATTGCCATTTTTGTCTTTGCTATTCTAATGCAGCAAGGATCTCATGGAGAGGCATATCTGCTGTGATCATTGGGGAAACTTTACCTGGAGTGAATTGTCTGTCTGCACAGTAAAACTCAGTATTTTTTTTTCAAAGACAAAAAACTTCACATTCTAAATTAAATTAAGCTCACAAATAACTCAGAAAAATCCTGTACTGGCAGGAATTATAGTCAGTGACAAACTGTTCAAGGGGGAAAAAAACCAACCACAATGTAAGCCTTATCTTTGAATTACAGTACAAGATAATACTTAAACCTGCTAGCAGGTTACAGATGTTAACTGGCCACATATTATGTTTTCTGATCATCTTTTGTGCATTCTTTGTCTTTTAGAAGATCTGGTGCTTTGTTTTTGTCAAAGGAAATTTCCTTTTGTGGGATTATTGCAGCAGAAAACATTTTAAAGGTCCTTTGCCCCATAGAGGGCTACTGCTCCAAGTCCTGTTAAACACAAGGAGGGGATTTTTCCCAGTATTTTCAGTATGCTTTGCATTGGGCTCTGGATAACTAGCTAGGCTTGTTGTGGCATAGCATTCCTTCTAGGTCATCGGTCCCAGATTCATTTATGGTTGTCTTTTCCTTCCTTATAGTTAAGCAGGATAAATTCTGCCTTGCGCTGAGCAACCTCAGTCCTTCCTTGGTTTTGTATGAAAAATACTGAAGGTACTGTTTGTAGGTAGCTGTTTGTAGGAGGTTTTTGTCACTGTGTTGAAAAAGTCCCTCACTTCATATGGATGGGGCATAAGAAATGCAGTGGTCTTAAAAAATTCAAACTAGTCAGTCTTCTCCTTAAGTCAAGAAAACAACATCTTCAGATCACTTCAGCAAGTGATCTGAAGGCTGAGTAAATTGGGATAGATCCATTAGGTAGTCTGTGAAGAAACTAAGTTAATCAAGATGAAGCTAATTTTGGCCTTGTAAAAGACTAAGTAGACTAAATTGAATCCTGACACTTGTCTTCCCTGTGACATGAGTTTCTTACTGCTGAAATACAGGTGGAGGTTGACTACAGAGAATGAGCAGCACTTCTTTTAAAAACGAGCCTAACAGATGTCTTCACCATGAGAACTTTTTCTAACTGAACTCTCCAGTGAGTGGGGTGCACCGATAAAGTGTTAGATTAATTAGTCTAATGCCAGAAAACCTGACAGGTGAGAATCATGGTCCAGATTACTCAAACATTCAACGGTAGATGTTCCTGGAATGGTACTATTTGCTGCTCTGCAAGTGTTAGAATTCTTTTCTTTTAAATTTATGCATAGTTTTCTATACACAGGAAAAGCAGAATTTGGGAGGCTTTGGGGCTGATGTACAAAATTTTTTTCAAGTTTTAAACAATGCATACATGACTGAGTTGTTTCTGTTATTGTATGCGTAAGCTAGGCAGTTGGGTTGGTGTTCCCATTAAATATTACAATTTGCATATTGTTTTGTGATATGAAAATAGGTATACAAGCCATTTTTAAAATACACCAGGCATTCCATTTAAAAAAAAACAAAACAGCTCCTTAACAGGGTTATGTGGGGTACTTTAAGGACACAGAGTCATAGAATCACAGAATGGTAGGGGTTGGAAGGGACCTCTGAAGATCACCTGGTCCAACCCCCCGGCCAAGGCAGGATCACCTAGGGCAGGTTACACAGGAACACGTCCAGCTGGGTTTTGAAAGTCTCCAGAGAAGGAGACTCCACAGCCTCTCTGGACAGCCTGTTCCAGTGCTCCGTCACCCTTACAGTAAAGAAATTTTTCCTCATGCTGCAGTTTATGCCCGTTGCCCCTCGTCCTGTCACTGGGCACTACTGAAAAGAGACTGGCTCCATCCTCCTGACAGACACCCTTCGGAGATTTATAGACATTGATAAGGTCCCCTCTCAGCCTTCTCTTCTCCAGATTAAACAACCCCAGGTGTCTCAGCCTTTCCTCATATGAGAGATCTTCCCGTTCCTTAATCATCTTCATAGTCCTCTGTTGGACTCTCCCCAAAAGTTCCCTGTCTCTCTTGAACTGGGGAGCCCAGAACTGGACACAATACTCCAGATGAGGCCTCACTAGCACAGAGTAGAGGGGGAGGATAACCTCTCTCGACCTGCTGGTCACACTCTTCTTAACGCATCCCAGGATACAGGATACCATTGGCCCTCTTGGCCACCAGGGCACATTGCTGTCCCATGGATACCTTATTGTCTACCAGGACTCCAAGGTCCTTCTCCACGGAGCTGCTTTCCAGCAGGTCAACCCCTAACCTGTACTGGTGCATGGGGTTCCTCCCGAGGTGCAGAATTCTACACTTGTCCTTGTTAAATTTCATGAGGTTCCCCTCTGCCCAGCTCTCCAGTCTGTCCAGATCCTGTTGAATGGCAGCACAGCCTCCTGGTGTATCAGCCACTCCTCCCAGTTTTGTATCATCAGCAAACTTTCTGAGGGTACATTCCAACTCTTCACCTAGGTTATTGATGAAGGTGTTGAACA